AGCCAAAGCCAGGATGTGAAAATTTGTACAGGGCAAAGTGACCTAGTTTCTCAAGAAACAAGTGGTGTACACAAGTTGAGGAATGGTTACAGATTTCAAAGACTCGAGAAGTTCACGGGAAAGCATCCTGTGGTGAATTTTGGGCTCCTTGTTAGAACAAACCCAACTCCCAAGTATACTTTTAAGACTGTTAGGGAAACGTGAATATGGAGACAACAAATTTGGTAATAGTGAGTGGGGTGAAATGCATGTTCATTGGGCCTTTTAAAAAATTGAAAGGCAGAGGGGCACCTGGGTGGCTCAGTCCCTTAAACTTCCCACTTTTGATCTAGGTTCAGGTCATGGTCTCAGGATCCACTGGGGTCATGGTGATGGGCCTGCCAGAGAGTTCTCTTCCTCTCCCCCTGCCCCACCCATCCCATGCTCTTGTGCTCTCTCTCAAATAAATAAATCTTTCTTAAAAAATATTTTATTTGGGGCGCCTGGGTGGCTCAGTGGGTTAAAGCTTCTGCCTTTGGCTCAGGTCATGTTCTCAGGGTTCTGGGATCGAGCCCTGCATCGGGCTCTCTGCTCGGCAGAGAACCTGCTTCCCCTCTCTCTCTGCCTGCCTCTCTGCCTGCTTGTCATCTCTGTCTATCAAATAAATAAATAAAATCTTTAAAAAAAGTTTTAAAAATATTTTATTTAATGGGGCGCCTGGGTGGCTCAGTGGCTCAAGCCTCTGCCTTCCGCTCAGGTCATGATCTCAGGGTCCTGAGATCGAGCCCCACATCGGGCTCTCTGCTCAGCAGGGAGCCTGCTTCCCTCTCTCTCTCTGCCTGCCTCTCTACCTACTTATGATCTCTCTCTCTCCATCAAATAAATAAAATCTTTTTAAAAATATTTTATTTATTTATTTGACAGAGAAAGAGAGAACCAGCAGGGTCAGCAGGCAGAGGAAGAGGGAGAAGCAGGCTCTCTGCTGAGCAAGGAGCCTGATATGGGGCTTGATTCCAGGACACCAGGATCATGACCTGAGCCGAAGGCAGCCGTTTAACCCACTGAGCCACCCAGGAGCCCCTCAAATAAATAAACCCTTTTAAAAAAATCTGAGGGGGGCCCTGGGTGGCTCAATGGGTTAAGCCTCTGCCTTTGGCTCGGGTCATGATCTCAGGGTCCTAGGATGGAGCCCCACATGGGGCTCTCTGCTCAGCAGGGAGCTTACTCCCCCCACTCTGCCTACTTGTGATCTCTCTCTCTGTCAAATAAATAAATAAAATCTTTAAAAAAAAATTGAGGGGCGTCTGCGTGGCTCAGTCTGCTGAGAGTCTGCCTTCAGCTCACGTCATGATCCTAGGTCCTGGGATCAAGCCCCTCACCGGGCTCCCTGCTCAGTGGGGAGTCTGCTTCTCCTTCTGCCTCTTCTTCTTCTTCTCTCTCTCTCTCTGATGAATAAATAAATAAATAAAATCTTAAAAAAATAAAAAAATTTTTAAAAATTGAGAGGGGCAATTACTGCTTAATAAGTAAAGAGTCTTTTTGGGGGGATAATAACCATCTTTGAGGAGAACGGTGATGGTCACACAGATTCGTGTGTTTAACGCCACTGGCTTACACACTTAGGCATGGTTAAAATGATAGTTACATGTATCTTAGTGCACACACACAGAACTGAAGACCACACTCATTCTACATTTTCCCTTTCGGGTCTCATAATTCCTATGAAGCCCTCCTGAGTTTAGGTTTTTCTTTTCCTTGCTGCTGAAACGATCCTGACTCAATGCCAGCTTTCATACCAATGCAGCACACGGTCCATCCCTCCCTGAGGGAGTCTGATGGTATTTCTGGTTCCAGAATTCCCTCCGTGTGAATTTTAATGAATGAATGAATTAATTAATTAACAGCAATCTCTACGGCCAGCATGGGGCTCCAACTCACAACCCCAAGATCAAGAGTCTTACCCTCCACCGACTGAGCCTGCCAGGCGCCCTGCATGGAAACTCAGGTGCCTGGGTGGCTCAGTGGGTTAAGCTTCTGCTTTTGGCTCAGGTCATGATCTCAGGGTCCTGGGATCGAGCCCCACATCAGGCTCTCTGCTCAGCAGGGAGCCTGCTTCCCCCTCTCTCTCTGCCTGCCTCTCTGCCTACTTGTGATCTCTCTGTGTCAAATAAATAAATAAAATCTTTAAAAATAATAAACAAGGAAACTTGCAGCTAATGACAAATGCTTTGCTGAAATACCCAGAGAAGACAAACCAACGTCTGGCGTTCACTTTGAAACACCTAGACAGTGAGCCGGATTGGACAGGGGATGGCAGCATGCTCAGTGGTGGGGCAGACTGCCGGAGGGAGAGCCTGGGGGCTGCACCACGCAGGTATCCCTGTGTCAGTCCCTCCAGCTTGCTGCATGTTGGAAAACTGTCAGAAGATGTTGGGGCCTGGGGAAATGTCCTTCACTATTAGAAAGGCATATTCAATGATTTTCTGGAATTTGGTGTTTTTTTAAAAAATTGATTTATTTTTAGAGAGCGCCTGAGTGGGGGGAGGAGCAGAGGGAGAGGGACAAGCAGACTCCCGGCTAACCTTGGAGTCCGATGTGGGGGGGGCTCTATCTCACGTCCCTGAGATCATAACCTGATCCAAAACTGAGAGTCGACCCTTAACTGACTGAACCACCCAGGTGCCCCTGGGATTTGCTTTAAAATAATAACGGTGGTGGGCACCTGGGTGGCTCAGTCCTTAAGTGTCTACCTTCGGCTCAGGTCATGATGCCAGGGTCCTGGGATCGAGCCCCACATCGGGCTGGCTGCTCCTCTCCCTCTCCTACTCCCCCTGCTTGTATTCCCTCTCTCACTGTCTCTCTCTCTCTCTCTGTGTCAAATAAATAAATAAAATCTTTTAAATAAATAAATAAATAACATTAATAACAGGGGTGCCTGGCTGGCTCAGTCTGTGGAGCCTGTGACCCTTGATCTTGGGGTTTTGAATTTGATCCCCACGTTAGGTGGAAAGTTAACTTAAAAATAAAAGCTAAAAAAAAAAAGTCTTAAAAAAAATAAAATAATGGGGCACCTGGGTGGCTCAGTTGCTAAGCATCTGCCTTGGGGTCAGGTCATAATCCCAGGGTTCTGGGATCAAGCCCCGCATCAGGCTCCCTGCTCAGTGGAAAGCCTGCTTCTCCCCCTCCCACTCCCCCTGCTTGTGTTCCCTCTCTGGCTATGTCTTTCTCTGTCAGATAAATAAATAAATAAGATCTTAAAAAAAATAATAAAACAAAAACAAAATAGTTGTAAGAGAGTGTTAGAAATAAAACTAGCAGAAAGTTGATGGCTATTGAATGAGGCTAGGGGATGGCATGGGGCCTTGCTCTACTATGCTCTCTACTTTTGTGCACTTGAAAACTTCCTTACTCGGTAATCAACAAATAAAAAAGTGTGTCTGCTTGCCTTGTGGAGGGAAGGCAGGAGGAAAAGAGCCTATGGAAGAGGCAGAGCTGGGTTAGGAATCGTGCTCCAGCAGCTTTCAGATTGGGGGAGTTCCCAGGGCCTGGATCAGGAGCGTCACCTGCAGGCTTTCCCTAGCTGCAAACCCCCGCCCCCTCCACATACCCCAAACCCGCAGCTCTGCCGACTACCTACCAGCTGCCTTCTCCCTGCCCACAGCCCCTTCTCCAGATCAGCCTCACCGGAAGTAAGGCCCAAGACAGAGCCCCCCTCCCCCCACCTTCACATCTGGTACTGATGTCAACAGCCAGGGCGGGCGGGGGCCCTGTTTTTTAGCTCCCGCCCAGCCTCGAGGGAGGGGCGGACACCCCCATCCCCACCCCTACTCACAATGACAGACACTGTCACAGGCACACCAGGCCCTGCCATGGGCAGACCGGGGGCCAGAAATGAACTTTTATTGCAAAATGGGGACCTTCAAGTCACAAGGACGTCAGAGCTGGCCTCTGGCCCAACACAGGGAGCTGGAATCTGGCCCCTCCTTGGTCATCTAGCCCCTTCCACCAGGTCTAACCGGGACTTGGGAATGGGAGGTGGGTCAGGGTACTGTGCGTGTGTCAGGGGGGCAGGCTGGGGAGGCCTTTAACAAGGTTACGTAAGTGGGAGGGGGAACTGTTTCTCTGATTGGAGGGTCTTGTGTGTGTGTGTGTGTGTGTGTGTGTGTGTGTGTGTGTATGTGTGCGTGTGTCCAAGTTTACTTGGTTCCAGGGCTATGTGTGCAATTGCACGCTGGGTGTGTAGTTATATTTGGGAGGATTTGAGGATCAAGGTGCTTGGAAAGGGGTGTCTTTGAGGGCTGAAGGCCTGGAGGAAGCTGGGGATGTGCCCTCCCCCCTTCCCGGGAATGGTGTGTCTGGTGTCATGTGTGCGCTGGCTGTGTGGTTCCGTGGTTGGGGGAATGTGGATGGCGACGGTCACGTGCCTGGATCATGGCGTGGGCGCACGAGAGAAGGCACGTTGGAGCTGAAGACAGGGACGGTCTCTCTGCGCACGGACAGGACCCAGGAAGGGGGGTGTTCACCTCTGTACCAGGCTCCCACAATTGCCAGGAGGGGGGGTGAAGAGGTCTTGTGGGCCCTGAACACCGTGGCTATTTCCGTGCCTTGTGAGGGGAGGGGCTGAACTCCAGCACCTGGGCTGTGAATCCAGGGGGGGTGTGTTTGGACGAGAGGGTGTGTTATCTGGGGCGGTGATCATGATTCCAGACGAACTAAATCTATGTCTATAGAAAGCCTGTGTGGCAGAGTTGCCCCGCGGCCCTCATGGCCCTCATGGCTGCGTGTCTCAGTAGCCACCTGCGTGTCTCAGTAGCCACACGAGCGAGCGGAGTCCTGGGGACGTGTAGGCCAGATACCCCCGTGGCAGACTCTAGAACACCTAGAGGTGTGTGTGTGTGTCTGCCTCGGGTGTAGAGTTGTGGCTCTGGAGACACAACCATGTTCACGCCCACCGCCATGAGGAGGCCCCCACCTCCCACAGCTCCCTCCCTCCTTCATCTGGTCCACACAGTGCGGGGAGGTTAGTGGGGCCGGACTTGCAGCTGGAAGGCTGGGGGGATGTTGAAAAGGCCGCTGACAGCTGGCTGGAGGCTCAGGGTCCCCGGCGGGCATGGGCTGTCCAGGGAGAAGGCCTGCAGGAGGGTGGTGAAAAGGAGGAAGAGCTCCGCCCGCGCCAGGCCCTCCCCGAGGCAGACACACTTACCTGGAGGGAACAGGGAACGGGGAGATGGGACTGGGTCAGCCCTCCTCACACCCAGGCGTGGGGAACTGGCAGGGGAGCAGGGACCAGCCCCGCACGTACCTAAGGAGAAGGGCAAGAATGCCTCCTGCTTCTGGAACCGTCCATCCGCATCTAGGAATCGGTCTGGGTTGAATTCCTCTGGCTGTTCAAAGACCTCAGGATCACGCAGGACAGAGCCAAGGAGGGGGAAGACCTCAGTGCCCTGCGGGGAAGCAATCATCAAATTACAAATAACCTTCCCCATCCAGGTTTGATGATTCTCTAGTGCCCAAAGCACAAGGGCAGAATATTTCAAGGGCTTATTACCAGCCAGACATGTTCTTAAGCATCTCATATATACTCTCTCTCTTACGCAACAGCAACATGCACCTTGTGCTCTCTCACACACACACTCAAACGTACACTCAAACTCACTAAATCTTTTTAACAAGTCTACAGAGTAATTTCTAACATGATTTCCATTTGAAAGGCGGGAAAACTGAGGTCCCCCGAACTTACGCAACTTGCCCAGCGTAGCATCTGGACATGGGAGGGCTAGTTCTTTTTACACTGTGTTTTTAAATTGTGTTGTGATTCATCTATGGTTGTCCTAAGCCGCCTGGCCTGGGTCCAGCTCTTTCCCACTGGGCTCTTTCAGAGGTAGAGCCAAGGGCGGGTAGGTGACTGCTGTCTGTGAGGGCTCCCCAGCGCAGGTCCCCGAGTGAGTAGGATCCCAGGGCTGTGCAGTGGAGGAGATGTGAGGGAGAGGGACCTCATTTACCAGGGACTATGGCTAGCGGGGCTGAGCCAGGAATGGGAGGGGGGGCTCCAGGAGAAGACAGGGTCATGCTACTATGGCTGTTAAAACAAGGCAGACAGCTATGGCTAGAGCAGACGCCCTGGGTGTAAATTCTGCCACTACCACTGTAGGCTGGGTGACCCCGGCAAGTCTTCTCAGCCTTCAAGGCGTTTCCTCATCTGTAAAATGGGCATGATAATGGTGTAGGGTTGCTCCAAAGATTCAACAAGGTACTAAGTCCATGAAGCATTTAGAATAATCCCTGGCGGAGAGCAAATGCTCAGTCATTGATGCCTGGGGTTCCGTAATCATGATCAAGAGTGGCCATAGTCGGGGCGCCTGAGTGGCTCAGTGGGTTAAGCCGCTGCCTTCGGCTCAGGTCATGATCTCAGGGTCCTGGGATCAAGTCCCGGATCAGGCTCTCTGCTCAGCAGTGAGCCTGCTTCCCTCTCTCCCTCTCTCTCTCTCTCTCTCTCTCTCTCTTTCTGCCTGCCTCTCCATCTACTTGTGATCTCTCTCTGTCAAATAAATAAATAAATAAGTAAATCTTTTAAAAAAAAGAATGGCCATAGTCACTGGGTTAGCCATGGCTGCCGCTGCCCAGAACGGGGCACCCGGGGGAACCCCCAGGTCCTGGCACCAAGAGTGGAGCTGGTGTTTTGCAAGCATTATCCCACAGGTTCCTTGAGATCCCAAGTTAATACTATTACTGTTCCTGGTTTAGAAGAGGGGTAGAGGCAGATTCATGGGCTGAAGTGATTTGCTCCAGGTCCCAGTGAGAAAACACCAGGACCGGATCATAACTGCTACACGCTCAAGGAGGGAGCAGTGAGGCTCCTGGGGTTTCCAGGCGGACATCGCCCCCTGGTGGTGCTTATGATGAGTTGTTCTCTAACGGATGGCAGAAGCTGCTGGGGAGAGGGCGGAGGGGGAGAGGAGAGGGAAGGAAGGGGAGAGACTCATTTCATTGTGAGACTCCTTCCGCCCTCAGTTCTCAAATTGTTCTCAAATTCCAGCCACCTTGGAAGGAGGTAGAAGTAGGCTATCCGCTGGATAGACGGGGAAACTGAGGCCCAGAGACAGTCAAAGGCGGGAGAAAGGCACACAGAAAGACAGAGGGACAGAGTTGCAGAGAAGATGGTCATTGAGGAGAGATAGAGACCAATAATCAGAATAAGTCACACACACAGCCACAGAGAGGCGGCAGCGGAGACGGACTCGGGGCGTGGCCGAGGGGCAGGCCCACCTGGGGCAGGGTGTACTCTCAGAAGCAGGTGGTCCTTGTGAGGGTGCAGGGCACTCCCATGGGCACCAGAGCCAGCAGCCGCTGCGCCTCATGCAAAACGGCATTGGTATAGGAGAGGCGGGCTTGGTCCCCAAGGCCTGGTGCGCGGCCGGCCCCCAGCTCCCGGATCAGCTCCTCCCTCACACGCTCTGCACTCAGGAAGAGGGGGACAGGAGGTCAGAGGTGGGGTTAGGCCCTGTGACTCTACCCTGGGAATCCCCATCTTACTGTGGCAGCAGGTGGGGGGAGGCTGGCCGGTAGGGAGGAGGAGTCCCCCAGGCTTTGCTGAGACTAGGTCCCTAACATCCTGTGTGTGCTGGGCACAGGGTCTCCTTTCTTAACTCCCACAGCAATCCTGTGAGGTGGGTACCATTATCCGTCCCCATCTCCCAGATGAGGAAACTGAGGCCCAGAGAGCTGAAGTCAGAGCGGACTCCATTCCCCGGAGGCCACCAGACCCGAAGCCCCATCTTCCAGGTCAGCCCACCCCGCTGGCTTGACAGCCTTTACTGCAGCTGCCTGACCCCCAAATCCTGGGCTTCCCTGGAGCTCACGTCTGGGCCAGGTACCCTCCTATACTAACCCAGCTTCACGTCCTGCCTGGGCCCTGATGACCCCAGCTTTTTTTTTTTTTTTTTTAAGTAATCTCTACACCCAATGTGGGGCTCAAAGTCACAACCCCGAGATCAGGAGTCACCTGCTCTACCCACGGAGCCAGCCAGGTGCCTCCCACCTTTAAGAAAACTCTTTACGCCCAACATGCTGCTTGAACTCAGGACCCCAAGAGCAAGGACCCCAGTTTGCTTTTTATCTCCAGTCCTGAATTAGATGTCTTGTGGCCTCCTGGATGTCTCCCGGCAGGTGGCCCCAGGCTCCTCACGCTTGTCCCATACTGGCCTCAGTGTCTCCCCTGAAACAGTTCCTCATTCCTTCTGTCCTCATCTCAGGGTAGTCCCATGGTCCCCCCCGTCCCCCAGCCCCCTGGGCCTCCCAGGTCATGTTCTACTTGCCCACCTGGCCCCTCTTCCCTCCCCACAGCTTGGCCTAGGACTGTCCTCTCCTGCCCAGGTCCTGTCCCGTCCTCCTGACATCCTCTTGCACACCTTACCTCTTTCAGCCCCAAGGATTTTTCTAAAATGCTAATTTGACCCTGCCCTCCCCTGCTCAGCATCCTTCCATGGCTCCCTATTGCTCAGGATTAGGCATACAAGGTACCACCAAGGCGACAAGGCCCTGAGAGGTCTCCTGCCCCATTTCTCACTTCACTGAGCCTCTCACTGCCTCCGGCAGCCTCCCCAGCTTCTCGCCCTTCAGGCACCCCCGATGCCGGGCTCATTCTCACTTCCAGGCCCCGGCTCAGGCTGTCCGTTTTCCTGAATGTTCTTCCTCTGGAGCCCTCACTTCCAGCCCCAGGGCTGGCTGGCACAGAAGCCTCCTACCTTGGACCCGAGGGTACTTCAGCAGAAGCAAGAGGGTATAGCGGACCGTGGTGCTGACCGTGACCGTCCTGGCGAACAGCAGATAAATGATTGTCATCAGCAAGTTCTTGTCAGTCAGTTCTGTGCTTGGGTCATGCTCCTCCTGGGAGAAACCAGGCAGAGGGGCTCAGAGAACTCAGGCTGCGGGCAATAAGAGAGGCCCAGCACAGCCACGCCAGCAAGTTCAAGCTTTGTCAGGGGGGTTTGTATAAATGTTTAGGCGAGTGGGAAAGTGGACTCTTGATATTAGTTCTTTTTGGTTGTGCTGTGTTTGAAAATGAAAGAGTGTGGCCACTCTAAAAAAACAAACAGAATGACATGTGGTTAGGATGTGGAGAAGCGGGGACCCTGTCACCATTAGTGGGGCGGTCATAGGGTGCAGCTGCCATGGGGAATGGTATCAGGTCCCTTAAAAAATTAAAATAGAATTACCGTATGATCTAGCAATTCCCTTTCGGGGCGCGTACCCCAACAAGTGAGAAGCAAGGTCTTGAAGGGGTATTGTGCACCCACGTTCCCAGCAGTGCTATTCGCAATGGCCAAATGGGGTAGGCACCCCAAGGGTCCACTGATGGATGAATAGATAAGCCAAATGTGGTCTATCCATGTAGGGGAATAAGGATTCAGCCTTAAAAAGGAAGGAGATGCCGTCACGGGATATGACATAGATGGCCCTCCAGGATATCACGCTAAGTGAAATAAGCCAGTTGCAAAAGGGGTAAATACTGTGGGATTCCATTTCTGTGGGGTCCCAAGCATAAGAAAACTCAGAGATGGAAAGGTGGTTGCCAGGGGCTGGGGAGCAGGCCCAGGGAGCTGTTGTTTAACAAGTCAAGAGTTTCAGTTTGAGAAGAAAAAGTTCTGGAGACCGTCTACACAGCAGACAGATTTCCAGCTATACCTGAGTAGGGGCTGGCCAGGCCACCAGCCCTGTTCGGGGGGGTGCCCTGACCCTGACCTTCCCCTACCTTTGCCATCTTTAGCAGGAATGCATCTACCACATTGCACGGTGGGGCTGAGCTGTCCAGGCTCTCCTTGTGTCGCTGCACCTGCTGGACGGCGAAGGTGGCCAGCATGCTCAGGTGGCCCAGGAGCTGTGTGTGGGGGCCCGGCAGGCGCTTCAGGAGCCAGGAGAACATCTCATAGGTCTGCGGGGGGAAGGGCAGCTATTCCCACGGGGCCTGGCCTTGCACCAGCGTGGAGGGGTGCTCCGGGGGTTCCCTGGAAAAGGTGGCTGGAGAGGGGTCCTGCCCACTTACCTGGCCCCACAGGGAGCTGACCCCCAGCATGGTGCCACCAGCTGCCCGGACCAGGGCCTGGAAGTCCTCGTCCTCGTAGGGGAAGCGGAGGCCAAAGGTGAGGGAGCAGATGATGTTGGAAGTGGCCTGAGCCAGCAGTAGGGAGGGGTCAAATGGCCGTCCTGCGGGGGAGAGGGCAGTGGGGGAGGGCTGTGCTGGAGAGGAGGCCAGCCTCTACCAGAAGGAGACAGGCATCGAGAGAGACAGATGGGGAAAGAAAGATAGAGAAACAGACAGGAAAGAGACAGACGGATAGAGAGAAGGGAGAGACAGAGAAACATACATGGAAAGAGAGACAGACTGGGAAAGACTTGGCAAAAGATAGTTGGGGAGAGAAGAGGACAGAGACGGAAGGTGGAGGAGGAGTCAGAGGTGGCAGTGAACAAAGCCCTCAGCCCAGCCCCGGACCGGACCCCCCACTCCCCGCCCACCACTCAGGCATGCCTGCAGGGGCCCCCAGGCTCACCCCACCCTGCTGACCTTCCATCCCTTGGAATGCCTCCACCAGACACTGGGCCTCCGCCTGGATCAGCTCCTCACCTTCTCGCTTCCCCATGCCCAGGTCCCGCAGGGCCAGCATGGTACATCTCCGCAGCTGTCGCCACCGCTCCCCATTGGAAAAGAAAACCCCTATGCAGAAGGCTATACTCAAGGAGGGACCGGCCCCTCTTTCCATTCCCCAGGACTGCTCCCTCCTTCCCAGTGAGGTGTCTGGAGGCAGATTCTGCAGGCCCTGTCCTGAGTCCATTCCAGCCTAGCCCAGGGTTAAGGACTCAGTAGGTGCTCCATAAATGTCTAACCTTGGGGCAGAGGGTGACATTCTCCCGAGAAGCTGGTCGCTGGGATTATCCAGGCTCCCTGGGTTCTGTGATGAACCTGGATGAGTGAAGACTTCTTCTTCCCTTCCTCCCTTGCTCCCTCTCTCCCTTCTTTCCTTCCGTCCTTCTCTCCTCCTTCCCGCCCTCCTCTCTCCCTCCCTCTCTTCTTCCAAACATTTACGAGTGCTATTGGGTTCCCTGCCCCATGTCATTTGGAAGCTGAACCAGGAGAGAGGGGAATGGAACTGACATTTTCCTCCTTTAGCTAAGAGTCTGCTCTGGACAAAACCTTGCTTCTCTGAGCTCAGGGTCTCATACGTACAATGCTAGCCCCTAGAGGCCTCCTAGAAGTCTCCTCCAGGGTGTCCCCAGCCCACCCTCCCACTGTGTCCCAAACTGGCCTCAGAACCTCTCCCGTTCCTGTCTCAGTCCACTGTTCTGTGCACCCCCCAAACCCCGCCCTGCTCCTGGCCAGAGCCCTGGCTGCCTCTTCCAACCACACCCTCCCTTCTGCATTCCCCCAGCCCCAGAACAGCATAGTCCCCAGCCTGGGCTCCTGCACAGTGACCCAAGGATCCTTCTAGCTCTGACTTATATCTTCCCTGCTTCCATCTATAGCCTCCAGAAAATCCCAAAGCTGAGCACTCTGGTGTGACTCAGGCCCTGTGTGACCCACTTCTCCAGCTTTGTTACTCATCCTGCTACAATTACATTGGTTTTCTCTCACTACCTCAGTGGTGTCAGGATCCCCCGTCAAGGGCCTCTGCCCCTACTGCTCCCTCTGCCTGGATCACTCACCTCTCTATCCTCACTGAACTAACTGCACTCATCCTCATATCTCACTGCAGTTGTCATCTCCTCCAAGAAGCCTTTCTTGATTTCTCCCAGTCTCTCTCTCCTCTCCCGACCTGGGCCAGTACAGTTCTCCTGTGTCCTGATCTTAGAGCTATACCTTTTATTTTAGAATTCTATTCCCTCCGTCCAGTCCCATGACATGCCCACCTCTCCTACATGTAGGATGACAGGACACCACATCTGTCTTGGTCACCTCTGTGTCCCCAGTAATAACTATGGGGCCAGGCATGATAAAAATTTGTCAACTGAATGAATGAATGCTTCTTCTCTCCCCTCCATGCTTTTTTTTTTTTTTTTTTACTCTTCTGCCTGGAACACCCTTCCTGCTCATCCTAGGAGTTGGCACCCAGGCAACTGGTCTTTCAAGACTTCCCGGATATCTCCCACCAAACAGGCTGGGTCAGACAACTCCTCTGGTCCCCGCAGTTCAGGGCTTCCCCTAGCCTGGCCCTGACCCCTCTGCCTTCTCCATCCTAGCCTGGCGACAGGTCCTTCTCTGCACTGGCCAACAAGCTCAGGGTCACAGCGGTGTCCCGACAGCGCCCCCAACACCAGCCTTCTACTTTCAGGTTTAGCAGAGACTAGTGGTCCCAGTGCCTAGAACACTCTCCGGGTCCCTCCCAGTCCTGGAGGCTTCACCTGGAGCAGTGAGAACCCTGCAACATCTCACCCAGGCCACATTCAATCCTCAGGATGACCTAGGTAATAAGCACTATTAGCACCCCATTTGATGGGTGATGGATGAGGAAAATGGGCTCAGAGACACCAAACTATGCGCAAAAGTCACATGGTAAATGGTGGCAGGCTCTGAGCCTCTGATAGAGGGAGCCCACAGTCCCCAGCTCTGCTCATGACTCACCAGCTCTGCTCATGACTCACCGTGGCCGTCAAAGGTCCCGTCCAGTGTCGCCAACATGCCCCGCCCACCGAACTCCTCAGTCTGACCTTCCAGGGCCTCCTGCACGGCCTCGTGCCCCACCAGGACCACCACACGCCGCCAGGGTCCCATACTTCTTACTCAGCTGGGGGCAGGGAGGGAGAAGGGGCGGGCGCCATGGGGCAAGCTGTGGCATCTGTCAGTGGAGGTGTCCCCATCATGGCCCTGTCACCAGGTGAGGCTCCTAAGAGGAACCCCTTCCCCCACCCCCAGACAGAAATAACCCCCTTGGGAGGTTCAGTTCTCTTTTTGTACCAGGCTCCCAGTTCCCCTCCCCATAGAGTTCCCAACCCCTTACCTCCTACAGAGCCCCAAGTGCAGACCCTGGGACAACCCAGAACCACCCCTCTCCCCAGACTCAGAAACACGGCAGCAAAATTGGGCAGTTGAGACTCTGGCCTCTCCCCATTCCTCAGCTCCTGCTCCACCCCCAAACTAGCCACACTTTTCTATCATTTTGCTAAACCCTCAAGTTCTGGCTGAGGGTGGATTCTGTTGGGCACGTGCCCCATCTTTCCCCAAGACCCCCGTCCTCCTTCCCGTGTCCTGAAGTCCCTCAGACTCCTTTTGACAGAGAACCTCTGGCCTCTTCCTCCTCCTTGCCCCCAAAGGTTAGAACGGCCTCAGCCTTCCTTCCTGTCCTCCTTCCCTGCCGCCACGGGGACTTCCACCTCCCTCCTAGCTCAGCACCACACAACCGGGATTCTCAGCAGACACAGATCTGGAACCCTCCAGCCAAGCCTCCCCCTCCTGCCAGCGACCCCTCCCCCTTTTCTTCTCTGCCCCTCCCCAGCTGCCTCTCTCCCAGGGATAAACCCGCCAGCATCCCAGTAGCAAAAGGGCTCCTGCCTCTGGCTTGAATCCCCTGCTTCTATCACCTTCCCAGGATTCTGTGGCCCCCGCCACCCCTTGGCGGGGAACCCTGCCACTGGATCCTGCCTCCTTCCCTGATCTCATCCTCTCCAGGATTCTGCGGGCAGACGTCTCTGCCCTTCCTAGCGGGGTTCAGCACACCAGGGTCCTCTCTCCCCAGCACCGCCCCCCCCACGACCTTCTCAGCTCTGGAGCCCTGCTCCTGCCCCACCCCAGAACCCCCCAGCCCCTCTGCCCTTGCACCCTTGGCCTGCGTCCTCTAGGATACCCCAGGGCCTCTCTGCCCTTGGTGCTCCGCTGTCTCTCCTTGCGCACCCCCCTCTCCTGGCCCTGGCTCCCCTGCCCCAAGCGGGGCGTCCCAGCGGATGCTCACCCGCAAGAGCCCCGGGTACAGCGCCCCGGGCCGGAGCTGCAGGAGGTTCCCCAGCAGCGGCAGCGGCGTGGGCCCGGGGGGCAGGTGGCCTCGGGTTCGGGGCAGCGCCAGCGTCAGCAGCACCAGCAGCAGCAGCACCAGCAGCAGCGCCCAGGTGCTGGGCGTCTCCATCGCGGCAGGTCGGCTCCTTAGGCCGGTTCCCAGACGCTCCACGCGGCGGGGCCGGTCGGGGGCGGGAGCCGGACGGCTCCTTCGGGGCGAAATCTGGCGGAGTGGGGCGGGGCACTGAGCCTCGCCTGCTAACTACAGGCGGGATTCTCTCCCCCGCCGCCGGATTTCTTTCTTCCAGACCACTGCGGCTGCTGGCTGTGGGGACCGGCTCTTGCGAGGCTGTCTACCAGGTCACCCAGGTTCGGGGGGTTGGGGGGGCGGAGACAGCGTCCGGGGCCCCAGGTAGGGCGTGGGCACATTGGAGGAAACTGGAAGCCGGAGATTTTGCCTCCAGGAGGCCACACCCCATGCCTGGAGCGGTGACCCCACGCCGCCCTCCCCAGCTCCCACCTCCCTGCGAACGGGTGTGAGTTCGCGTGTGCGTGTGCGCGTCTTGGAGCCAGTTTCCTCCAGCATCCTTCGTCTTCACCATGAGGTTAAATCTGAAGTTCGGGAAGATAAATCGGTTGGCTCCAGGCCACGCAGCTAACAAGCGGCAGAGCTGGGATTTGAACTCAGGCCATGGGAAATGATTAATTGAATCATTCCTTCACTTAGCAGTTTCCTATAGTGGTTGGGAACATGATGTCTGAAGCCAGACTGCTTGAGTTCACGGCCTAGCTTTTGGGTGCCCATTAACTCTTGTAAAAAGGGGAGAGTTTTCAGGATTAATGGGTTCATGGGCAAACAATTTCAAACGGGGCCAGATGCACAGATAACGATGTTATGTTAGCTAATATAATTATATGTTAGCTAATATTCTCTCAACTAATTGTTATTGAGGTCCGACTATAAACAAGACTGTCTAGACCTGGAGACACAGGTCTGAGTAAGAGAGAAGGGGCCCTACCTTCCCAGAGCTCATATTGACATGCAAATGAAGTCATAAATTAAGATAATTTCAAGTTGTTGAAAGGTTTGCCCGGGCAATGAGCTCCTTGAGGAAGACAGTTACAATGTCAGGTCCATGCTGTTCCTTTCAAAGCTGTAGCCCCAGTGTCTAGAGCAGTGCCTGGCACACAGTAGGTGCTCAATAAGTATTTGATGCATCAGAAGATTGAACAGAGATGAAGTCAGCGGGGAGGTATGCAGCGACCTGGAAAGCAATCAGCATCTATTTCTTGCAAAAGGAAGCAGGTGCGGGAGTTTTCAGCAGAATAGTTACTCAGTTTCCTTTGTACTTTCCTTAAACATTTTATCATGAAAACTTTCAAACATACAGTAGACACCTGTATTTTCACCCCCGTAGATGCCACCAATACCATGTTACTATCCTTGCTATGTTGCATACCTTTCATCTTGCCACATCCATCCATCCGTCTTATTATTATTATTTTGGATGCATCTTAGACATTTGCAGACACCAGGACATTTCACTTCTAAACACAACAACATCCATCATTTGCTGGAGTTCAGTATTTACTTACAGGGCATTTCCCCCACCCCTGGTAAATTTACACACGGTGAAATGCACACATCTTGGGCACATTTAAGATGCAGGGGCGCCTGGGTGGCTCAGTCGTTAAGCATCTGCCTTTAGCTCAGGTCATGATCCCAGAGCCCCACATCAAGCCCCACATCGGGCTCCGTGCTCCGCGGGAAGCCTGCTTCTCCCTCTCCCACTCCCCCTGCTTGTGTTCCTTCTCTTGCTGTGTCTCTCCCTGTCAAATTAATAAAATCTTAAAAAAAAAAAAAAGATGCATTTCAACAACTGCCTACCATCTTTCCAAAAACCGCCCCATGCCCCTTTTCAGTCAAACCTCCCCTCCTTGTCTCAGGCATTGATCACTGCCTGCCCCCTCCCAGATTAGTTTTCTCTTTGCATTTATTAATTTTTCAAGATTTTATTTATTTATTTGTCAGAGAGAGAGAGAGAGCGAGCAAGCAAGAGCGAGAGTGCACGAGCGTGGGGGGGGCAGCAGGCAGAGGGGGAAGCAGGCTCCCCACTAAGCAAGGAGCCCGATGCGGGACTCGATCCCAGGACTCTGGGATCATGAACTGAGTCGAAGTTCCGACTGAGCCACCCAGGCGTCCCTTCTCTTTGCATTTAAAGACATCTTTTTTTCTACCCTCTGGTGAATGAATTTTGCGTGACTGTAGAGCAGGTGAACTGGGGAGCAAATGATGAAGAAAAAGCCAAGAACCTAGGGTAAGCAAGGTCCAGGCTAGTGATGCCCACGGCTGGGAGCTGGGTGGGTGGCAGTGGGGAGACAGAAAGAAATGGATAAATTTGGGATGTCTATGGAGGTAGTGCCTGCCGGATTTGCTACAAATTGGGTGTGACAGCAAAGGAAGGAATCAAGGTCAACGTCAAATCTGAACAGTTCTGGTGTCAGGTAAGGAGAGATTTTCGGCTACAAGACTATTACAGGAGAGAGAAGAGACTATTGCGTAAGACAGGAAACAAGACCAGAATCTGATAACCCAGAAGGATGTTTTTTAGTGAAACAATTTTTTTTTTTTAAACGCCTACTCCTAGATTTGTTGCCCTGGGCAAGAAGAAAGATGGTGATGCCTTTTCCAGAGGCCAGAAAGGCGATTAGGGAACCTGTGGGAACCAGAGGTGGGAAGCTGATGGAGCAGGTTTTGTGGGAGGTCAGGGAATCAGGAATTCTCACTTGGTTTCATTAAGTTTGAGATGCCTGTTGGCTGTCCCAGGACTAAAGCCCCATTGGTTGGTTGGTTGGGACCAGATGAAGCTTTTTGGGACCGGGAGGTCCCAAAACCAGCCTTCATCTGGTTGGTTTTGGGACTTCCTGGAACTCTCCAGAACAAGGCAAAGGAAGAACTAAGAACTGGCATCTACTTTGTGGCAACAAAATGTAGACCAGCCTCCACACCTCCTCTTCCTGGGTTTCGGGGCACACCCCTTGGATGCTGGAGCCTAGAATCAAGACTAAAGGAGAGGGCAGGAAACATTGTGGCCATGTTTTGAGGGACACAGTTCTGGCCTAGGAAAGAAATGAGAAGACTGCAAAGGTTGTAGGAGTTTAATGTTATAAAATGACTTTGATTACAAATGTTAACCTTAAAAGTAAAACTGCCAATTATTTTACTAGGAAAATATGGGTTTCTTTGGAAACGGCGATTAATTGCAGTACAGGGAAAACAGGCTACCGCAAAACCATAGATAGGCACACCCAGGGAACACAGCTGAGATATGCTTGTTTATAGAGGAAGGGTGAGGGCTTTGGGAAGGGTGTTTAAAGAAAAAGTCCATAGGAACAAACTGGGAGTTGGAAGTAGAGAGGTTTCTCACTGGCTGGTTGTGACTGTCTCTCACTGGCTGGACTAATGAGGTGGTGGGGGGTTGGACAAGCCTTCCTTTTTCCCTCCGGTATAAGAAAGTAGTATCCATGGCCAGGTTCTTCTCTTTCTTTTGGGTTTGTAGTTGACTTTGAGTGGTAAGGCTTGCAAGCTCTCCCTGTCCAACCTCCCGACTCCATTTCAATGAGGTTTCCCTTTATTTGCTTTTTACACTAGATCCTCTAGATAAGAAAACTAACCAGTCCCCAAGATTCTAAAGTTTCCAAGACAAGACTTTTAATCACTACCTTGCTAATAAAATTCAAGCCTCGATTGGTGGCCTCCAACGTCCTTCAGAACCTGTCCTCTGGCAACTGAGTTTGACATCATCATGGCCCACTCTGTTCTCTGCCCATGAAACTCCACTCACACTGGCCTTCTTTCAGTTTCTTGAACAGCAAAATCAGCCTCTGGGCCTTTGCACTAGCTCTCTGTCTGAAATGTTTGGCCTGGAGATTGAGGTTGGCTCATATTCTGTTCCCAGCTGAAGACCAGTTCTCTCCAGAACACACTTTCCCAGACCACAAATGGAATTAGATCTCTCTCCCAATCCCAGACCCTGCTTTAATTCATTAAATAAGGCATTTAATAAATATTAAACACATTTTTAAAGCACTTACCATAGTGTCTGGTATATAGGAAGCTTTGAGTGTGTTTGTTAAATACATAAAAATTTTCTTCATAGCCAGTCTCACTACCTGAAACCATGTTATATATTATTTTATTCTACCTTCCCCCACCAGAATGTTCTCTCTATGATGGGGAGAGACTTCTGTCTGGTTCACGGATATATTCCCAGTGTCTGGCCCCCAGTAGGTGCCCAATACATATTTTGTTGAATGAATGAATACAATTTGTTAGTCTCTCAAATTCGTGTAAAGGACCATCAAGGTTTCCAAATTCTTGATTCCAAAGACCAAAGAAGTCTGGTTCCCAACATACATTTTACAGAAACAATCATTTCTGGTGGATTCCGGTCTCTCTTCACCCTGGCTGGCCGACAACTGATCCGTCTCCCCCTCCCCTACCAGCTACTTCTCATCAGACACCCTCTGATCTGGGTTTGGTGAGGCTGCAGCTTGACTCTCTCTCTCTCTCTTTTTTTTTCTTTTTTAAAGATTTTATTTATTTATTTGAGAGAGAGAGAGAGCGTGAGAGGGGAGAAAGTCAGAGGGAGAAGCAGACTCCCCATGGAGCTGGGAGCCCGATGTGGGACTCCATCCTGGTCCTCCAGTATCAACACCTGAGCCGAAGGCAGTGGCGTAACCAACGGAGCCCCCCAGGCGCCCTTGACCCTCTTTAAATTTAGCTCCTACCATGCATTTTCTTAGATTACTCTACAGACTGCCATCCCCAGAGTTTCCAGCAGGCGGAGTGGTGGGTGGGTTCTGGAAACTGCTTGGGGGTGGGTGGGTGGCTACTTTGCTTGGGATCCCCCAAGCCTTATGGTTCTAGAACTTGACTTGTGTGGGGATAAGCCTTGACCTACCTCCTATTTGGCCATGTGCCTTCCCCTTGACTTTCTCTCCTCCCAGCCCTTCCCTTCCTCAAGCTGTCCCACCCAGCACCCAGAACTGCCAGAGAAAGAAGTTAAAGACGAGTCTTGCTTCCTTCCTGGCTCCCCAGCCCTCGTGCTTCCCGAGATTCTAAGAGCA